CAAAAGATGAAGCAGTCTTTGTGTAGATTACCTGTTCTGTTTTTGCTGGTTATATTTCCATATATAAACTCCCATCTATGCTAGTATAATGCAAAATGCGTTGATAGGTTATGAAATGAAAGCAGAAAAGGTCCATTTGTATACATTATACATGGAAATGCTTTCATCCTTAAAGAGCTCTTGGCTCCAATACTCCCACTCAAGCTTGAAAATGGCAAACTGGCCCTGGAGGGGGCCGATCACAGATGTATCAAAGCCACCTGGACCAGGGGTGAAAAGGAAGTGTTCAGGAACAGACTGAAGGGTGAGCCACAAGACTGGCTCGCTGCTGCCACAGGCTTGAACAGGGACGTGGCCGAAAGTTCACGGCACAGCCCATTCCCAAGACGAGAGAAGCAAGCAAGCCAGACCACCTACTGGACTTGGATCCGATGCTTTATCCACACTGGATTCTGCAACTCCTGACCCAGCCGGATACAGTGGTGCTGGAACATAGCCGTCTGCATTGGAAAGCTGCATTTTATCCTGGAAGATTAAAAAAAAAAACTAAGATGAATAAGCGTAGCCGGGCGAGTCGGCCACCTAACCCCAAAAACAAGCAACAAGGCATGAGCTACATGGACTGTTGCCAGAAGGCAGAAATATTTCAAAACCGGGGCGCACAGAGTCTGGGCTATACAGTACTTGGTCTGGTTCCTCAGTGGGGAAGTCCACTCCCGAGTCGATCAGAGAGCACTCCCCGTTGGTCAGGCTCGATTTCGGAGGGACCGGAGCAGCAGGTACTGGAGCAGGCTGCGGGGGAGGGCACAGTTTCACAGGCCGTTCCGTCAAGCATTTCCACTGTGATGAAGATTTTAAACCACAGCCAGCCCCTTCCCACCCCCTGACGTGGGCAGACGTCCAGAGCAAAGCAAACCCTCATTCCATCAGCACTGACAGGCTAAAAGGATACTGGAAAATATCCCAATATCTAGATTTACACAGACCCTAACCTCCACCCTGTAAAATCCGTATGAACAGCTCCAGGCTCATGTCAAACCCCCCCCCCCAGTCTTACCTTCAGGGCTTTTGGAAGGAGGTCTGCTGGGCATTTCTTGGGCTCTCTTTGCACTGCAGAAGAAAGGCATTGGGCTACGTCAAGATCGCCTTGTAATCCCACATTTCTCATCCCAAGACTCCTCCTGGGGAAGTGGCGATTGAAATCTAGTCGCATCATTAATACATTTGTGGGGCACGGGCTGAGCTTTGCAGCTCCAAAATGGTCAAGCCTGGTTGTGTCAAATGGGATCTTGGGGGGGAGGGGTGATGGAGCTCTGGCCAACAGCCGATACCTAGGAACCACAGAACCGCAACCCTGCACAGGCATAACAGAATAGGGTCTCTTTAATTCACCATCAAACTGAATGGGTCATCTAGGCCACTCACGGATGTTGCATTTGTATTATCCATCAGGTGGGGCTGCACATTGGTGGTGGTGGAGGGGATCCCCATTACCTGTAAAGCGCTTTGAGTGGATTGTCCAGAAAAGCGCTATATAAGTGTAAGCAATTATCTTTAAGATGATCATGTCTCCCAGTTCCTAAAATTAAACTTAAAAGGACTTTCTCCTCTAAAAACACATACCTAGGGGTGTAGACGTTCCCAGGGCAGAATGCTTTAACCGGGAGGTTCCGCCTCCTGGAGATCCCTCACCCTCTAGAACAGAATCCTAGAAAGCAAGACCATGAAGACTTATTTCATTACCTGCTGAGAATGGGGAAAATCAAACCTCCCACCTTCCTTGTACAACTTGCTATAAGTTTTCTAGAGAAATAGACCTCAAAACATTTTACAGATGACCTCCACAATAACGGGTAATGAGCCACTGGCGCAGATTAGGAAAGGCGAAGCTCCATCCCACAAGCCCCGGATCTGAGCCCATGCAGGAGGGCTCACTGAGCACTGTCTCCTGTAGCAGGACACCTGGACTTGGGGCCCGGGTTCTGCCCTGTCGGAGTGGGCCGGCCCCAGCAGGCGCTCAGGGGGAGTCCCGCAGGGGCAGATGCTTGCAGTACCTGCATGAAGCTGAACGAGCCCTGGATCTCCTCCATCAGATCCTGCAGCTTCTGTTTCCGCAGCTCCGGGTCGGCCGGGAGGGGCGAGGGGGAGGTGAAGACCGCAACCGGCGAGGGGTCGGACTTGGGTGCCTGTCGGAGAGCAGTCAGTCAGCCTTGTCCTCGGCCACAGCTAAAACATGGGCAAGCTCACAGAGCACTAGGGAAAAAACTCAAATCGCTATAAAAGCTTCATACAGGCTTATATAAGCCCATTAGCACCGATCTCATAGGACAGCACCATCAGGGAAATAAATGCAGAAAACTTTTATAAAAGAAGCCTTACCACTTTCATTTCCTGCTCAGGTCTGGACTTCCTTTCTCGTCTCTGAACGCCACCATGAGGAGACAAGAAGCAGACAAGTTGGACCAGTTTGACGGACTTCAAGAAGACGTACTTGGAGGAGCTCGATACCCTGATGAGCCCGGGATGGAGAGGGTGTACTTGCCTGCTTGGGCTCCGCAGCAGCAGCAGCAGGGGGGGGCTTCACCTCCACCTGCTCTTTGGGCACAGGGGTAGGGGCGGGGGCAGGCATGGGCGCAGGGGCAGGGGCAGGGACAGGTGCCGGGGCTGCTCTCCAGGGTTTCAGGGCGGACTGCGGAGGAGAGGCCGGCTTCTCCGTGTACTCCATATCCCAGGAGTCTGGAGGCTCCTGCTGCTTCAGAGCCAGGAACTCCGCTTTCCAGGAGGGCACTGGCTGGCCTTCCTGTTCTTGTGCGCGGAAGTCCGTTTCAGGCAAGTAGCGTCTGTTAAGAAACTACATTATCCAAGAATAAAGTCAAAGATCCGCCTTCAGATTCATTCAGCCTTCTTGTCTTGTCAGGAATACGCAGAAGCTCCAAATTTGTGTTTGGAGCAGACATTTTTTAGCACAGAATCGGATTGGAAGGACTGGGCCACAATGCTGCCAAGTAAACATTAAAACTGGCCAGTGGCCTTACACCTGGTGAGAAGAGCTGGATCCTTACCTCCCTCGCGGGAACTTCGCACTTTGGTAGTGGCACGGAGGGTTCTGAAAGATAGAAGACTTGGCTTGAGGACCCAGGGCCGAGAACACAGCAGCGTCAAGCGACAGCACCACAGGGCACTGGGGCCGGCGTTACCACCACAGGGCACTGGGGCCGGCGTTACCTGGGACGCCAGCGGCGGGCCTCTTCGGCGCCAGGGGCTTCTTCACCACTTCTGCCACCGCTTCCTCCAGGCTCTCGCTGTGAGGGACAGGGATGTGATCGAAGTAGCCGCAGTCCAACAGCCTCGCCAGCTGCTCCTTGAGGTGCTTGTCTGCAAGGAGGGAGAGGACACCCACGAGATGGAGCGCGCGGCCACCCGAGGCACCGCCCCAACGGCCTGCCTTCGCGCCTCGACTGGAGGGGCGATATTGGCAATAAAAAGGGATGAACAACAACGCCCACTCCCTGCCTCCCCCCGCCCCCAGCCGGAAGGGGCACAAGTTGTGCGAGGGCCCGTGGCAGCAGGGGAACGCCAGGCTTGTACACCCTGGCCAGACTCACATGTGGTGCCGGCCACGGGCTTGTCCGCTCCCTCCAACAGGTCCCCGTACACGATGGCTGCCTGCTCCATCTGGTCTTCCACGCTGCAAGACAAGAGGCCAGGCTCCAGAGACCAGAGAGCAGGGTACGACGGGGAACCAGGTTTACTCCCAAGCCCGGGCCTGCAGCTCTGGAGGAACTTACTCCAAAGCCACTTCATACTCGAGGGCAATAAGCTCCCCAAATATTAACGCCCACTGTTATGAGGCTCTCCCTTCAGAAATGGGGGTGGCAGAGCTCCCAACCCGAGGCCTCCTCGAACCCGGTACCTCATGCTCTCGTTGCGCTTGCAGCCCACCCGCTCCGAGAAGCCCAGCAGGCGCTCGAGCTCGCGGGCGGACAGGAAGGGCGCCCCGTTCAGGCCGCTGCGGAAGTCCTTCCTCACGTGCTCCTGCTGCAGGCTCTGCAGGATGTAGTGCACCTGGAGGACAGTGCACAGCCGCTTCTTCTCCACCTCCGTCTTCTGCACCTGCTCACGGCGCACGGCCTTCCTCTGCGCCTTCAGCAGCTGCGGGACACGGGTACGAGTCAGGGGACCGCCGAGGGCTCCCATTAAATCTGCATCACAAGCCCCGCAGGCAGGCTCTTCAGGAACGGGCACAGACCCAGGCCCTTTCCAATGGGTCAGCCCACTAGGCTGTTTGCAGGGAAAAGGCTAGCGGTTTCACAACCTGCCTGTCCCCCCCATCAAATTCAGGGCATCCAGAGTGAAGCCGAGCCTTAAGTAAACGGATTGATCAGACATTGAAGTCTGGCCCCACCATGCGAGCTGGAATTTTCCCCACAGAAGACTGCTATTCATCCTGTCAGTGAGCCTGCATCCCCAAGCACGACAGAGCTCACCGAGCAAAAATATACCCATGCGCCATGCAGCATGAGATCAGCAGAACGTCCTCACACCCTCCCCCCACACAAGGGAAACGCTGCCTAAGCACATGGCCTTTAACAGAGACCAATGGCAAAAAACAAAAAATCTACTTCCAGCAAAGGCAGAGCAGTGGATACAGGTTACAGTTCCACAGGATGTCCCAGCACAGGAGCACAGATCCATGCTACCACTACACTTATCCCCAAGGTTCCGATGTGCTGAAGAATAGGAAAGGAGACTGTAAAAGTACTAGTTTTCCCAGAGCCCTCCACATCTCCAGGTCATCGTACAAGCAATCAAGCTACCAAAAAAAAAAAACTGGTAAGCACAGTACCAGCTTCAACACCTACAGTCTTGGCCAGCCTCTCTGCTCCATCTGCTCCCATGTTCAGAGCAGCAAAGGCACACCTGGCTTCAAAGAATCCAGTACAGTTCAAAGATGGTGAGGAGCTCTTGTTTGGAAGAACACAAAGACTTACATCTTGGCTAAGGGAGCTGAAGGTCTTCTGCAGTTCTCTCGCAAATGCCAAGTTATGAACAACTTCATCATACTTCTCCACAGCATCCTGCAAGCAACAGCAACAGGCCAGGTGAACCAGAGCCTAGAGATCTCTCAACATGGAGGGAGGTAAAATATACCCACGTTTAAAATGCAGGAATCTGTGACCAAGATCTAAAAGTGATCTGCAGAATATACCTTCCAGAGCATGCAGTTTAGTATAGTTATAGCCCTTTAAGATCAGGATGTCAGAATAATGCAACACATTTAGCCACTGCTTTTAGTAAGTGTGAAAAAGCCAAGGGGACTGTGGACATCATACAAGTGGTTCCTGAATTTAGAGGTCACTGCTCGTCTCGGTGGCCGGATCTCACCAGCTGGTCCTGGTTGAGGGCCTCTCCTGCCTTCAGACGTTGCTTGTAGTCTTCCAGCTTCAGCTGTGGACAAACACCATCCAAAACCAAGAACAAGCTCTCACCATCATGTGCTGTGCACACAACAGACAGCAAGATCACAACGTGGCAACTTGACCCCCCTTTTACCCTGAGCTCTCCTGCCAAAAGCGCAACACTTCAGACTAAGAAAAAAAAAACACAAAAAGTCAGGCACTGGTAAACACACACGCCAGTATTGCGGAGGAAGCCCAGGTTCAACCCCGAAAGGGGAGCCCAGGAGGCACGCGTTTACTTAGATCAGCTAGGCAATTAACGCCGCAGGGAAAGCATTCCTCACAAGCACCGGGGCCCTCGCACAAAGATCAGCCCCTCCTGCACGAGAGCGAGCGGCGCTCGGGTAAGCGGAAACGCAAAGCCTGGATAAGACCCGGGAGGCCAGCCCGCGGCCGCACAGCGGTCTACTCCACCTTCTTCTTCTCGATGTTGCGGATCTTGTGCTTCAGGCAGATGAGCCCGTTCTCGATGTAGGTGTCGTAGCCCTGGTACGTCGGCGCGGAGGACGCCAGGGCCAGCTGCAGCGAGCTCAGCACAGGGGGAGCCTCCGCGGTGGGGCTCCTGGGGCTCCCCTGCCTCTCCGCCGTCACCTCGGAGTGCTCCGACATCGGCGCGAGGTCCAGGACAGGGGAGGGGGACAGCTGCACCATCGTCAACACGGTTTCTGAGGAGAGAGGGGAGAGGAGAGGGAGTGAGGCCGGCTGGAGGCACAGAGGAGCCCTTATTCCAGCCCTGCCCCCCCAAGGCACCCACGCCTGGGAAAACCCCAGACACTGCCAGGCTCTGAACACAGACGCCAGATACCACCCCCTCACCTGCCCCAGCAGAGCCAGCCCTGGGGCACCCCGTCACCTGCTCTGACCGGGCCCAGCTTGCCCATTCCCACTTAACCATTAGAACACAGCAGCGGACACCCACTGGGAGACAGCCTCTCTGAAAGAGGACCGCTGACTGGGATTGTGTATCGGGTATCGAAAGGAGTTCCTGCACCAGCCTCGCTCCAGCTTCTCCAGCTGGATAGACTATCAGCACAGCTGGGCTTCAAGAGTGTCCACCCAGGAGGCAGCTGGGGCTGTTGAAGAGAAACATCCTCTCGCCCAGTGGAGCTGAATATGCACAAACAACCTCCGCAGCCTGTGCTCCTTTCAGCAGCCAGGGCTGGCACGTTACAGCCACCCAGAGGAGTCTTGAGAAGGGAGACAGGACAGCATCAGGACCAAGACCCAGGGAGCACCACAAGGGCACGTGAACCCCCCAGCCTCTTGGGGAACTAGAGGCCAGCAGGGCTAGGGCCAAGCCCCTCCAGTGAGGGAGGGCCAAGCCCCTCCAGTGAGGGAGGGCCCAGCAGCATCACAGACCTGGCCCTCAGCTCACCAGCCTCAGGAGCGCTACCCAAAAATGGCATGTTACAGGATGACTGCTCATTTTTTAAAAAGCACTCCCTCCCCAACCACCACCACCACCAGGGTTCATATGGCTTCAAGCCAGCAGGAGGGGGAAAAAAAGGAGGAAATCCGTTTACCAGAGCAGGCCATGCGTGAGCAGCCTAGTCAGCTCTGGTCCATCGCCCGGTTCCCACTCCGCAGCGCGGCTCTGAACCCGTGGGGCCAGTACCTCTTCCCCGCCTCTGCAGGGCCGCTCCGGAGCGGCGCAGGGGCGCGTCATGATGAAGCAGTATTTCAAACGCGCCACGAACGCGAAACGAAAGGCGCGGATAGCTGGGCTTTAACCAGCAAGTTCCTCCCAGCTGCTCCCCGCTACACACACACACACCCAGTGCAACCTCGCCCCGTGCTCGAGCCTCCACCACACACCACACACAGATGCCCGTTAAAGGCTGCGGCAGACCCTAAGGACCCGAGATCCCCGAGAAGCCCCCACGCCTACCCAGACGCGCAGAACCGGGAGGCATCCAGACCGGCGCACTAACCTCGGCGCTCCTCTCACGGGGCGTGCGGATTGCAGCTGAGGCGGCGGCGGCGGCCGGAGCGAAGCAGAGGCAGGTGTGTGACCACATACACGGAACAGAAACACGGCGAGCGAGCGAACGGTCCTCCCTCTGCAGCCCGCACAGGCAGATGTTGGGGGGTAACAGGGGGCAGGCTACCCCTACCTGTTCTGTTTTATACGCGCCCGGCCGTGCGCGCTGCGCCGATTAGGGCATTTCGATCTATTATGACGTCACCGCGTCCGGCAATCCAGACACCTGCCCCCCCCCCCAACGCGCGTGCATCGTCACCCCCGCTGACCCCTCGGCGCGGCGCGGCGTTTTTCACGCTGGTCTCTTTACTTCCACGCCGTGCGATTGTGATCTGGTCTAAAGCAGCCTTCGTGGACGCGGGGAGCGGAAAGGTCAGTGTCTCGGTCACGGCTCGACAGCTCACCCCTCCGCGTCGGCGCAGGGTCGGAGGAGAGCGGGTGAGCGCTGGCGTGTGGAGAGGACGCGCTCCAGCGCCGGTAATTGAGTCGTGCCACGACTCGGGACTCATAATAATAATAATAATAATAATAAAAAGGCTTCAAATCCCGAGAATCCTATTGAACGTTCACCCCGGGTTTCGTGTGCGATTGAACGGCGTTATTATTGATTATTTGCCGATGGCCGTGTAACGCGACGCGCTGTTCTCTGCTCGTCTCCCCGTTTCATCATCACAGGCGCAGCCTTTGCGGTTGGGAGTTTTACCTGCTGTAAAACGGTCTGTTGGCTGTTGTAATATTATTATTTATTAACAATAACATGTTAAAGCCGTAACGCGGAGTGGTCAGTGAAAAATTAAAATTATTTTCTTCAAGCGTGTCCAAAAGGAATTGTATGATGTAGATTGACCATAGATTAATAAAATATTCAATGGCCTATATTCAATGTATTTATTTATATACCTAAAGGGTTTCTCTCCATTCTAGGGTGTCACAACGAGGGGTCATCCGGACCGCATTATCCGTTTGCTTTATAAAAGCACACTGACCCAATGGTCCCGTTCGAGTCACGTTTTTGACGGACCCCGAAGCCCCTGTTTACACAGAGGGGGTTATTCCAGGGGATTTATTCCACCCCCTGGTCCCGGTCCAGCAGCAACGCTGCTGGTTCCGAAGCGGTCGAGTTCCCGCCCTATAGCCCCTGAGAGGACCTTGCACCGTCTCGCACCCGAATGAAACCTCCTTTAACCTCCTAAACTGACGGTAAAACAGTCACTGCAGCTGCTGCATGGTACAATGTACCGACCGTCTACGTCAATTGTGTATTTGTACGCTAATAACCCAAGCACGCTTGCAAACATGACTTGACTGCTGGAAGCGAATTGATCGAGAATCTCATTCATCGGATAGCCCGGCGTCTTTCAGCAAGGCTGGGCAGCTGGATCCATAACAAGTAAAACCCTTCGTCTTTTTTTTTAAAAGTAGACTTCCCTAGAGTTTCCTCTGGGCTTGTGGTGCGTGGGTTTTTTTTTTGTGGTGCTTTGTTTTTTTAGATTTCGAACGAGGTAGAAAATGGCTTCTCCAATATGAATCTGATTTCATAATCTTATTTTCGAGGGCGACAGCAGGTGCTGCCTACGTTGGCGTTTTTCGCAGTAACTGCTTTCTTCCGCCAGAGGGAAACAAATCCCCTGATGCCCATTAACATGTCCATGTCAGACATGTAGTTCCGTGAAGTGTGTACACACACTTGTCCTCTTATAACTGTACTCGCAAAATCAAAATGTAGCCGAGCAAATGAAGTTATTCCTATACAAACTGCACAGGGTAACTAAAATTAACCTAAAATTGATCTAAAAAGGGAACTAAGATGTATGAAATTTTAACAGCATAATGATTGATGAGGGAAAGTCTAATATGAAAATATCACGTAGATAAAAGCACAAAAACAAACTTATCAACTGCGGGTGTGTTAGTAAACGGAACAAAAATCTTTTCTGGCTACAAATCGCTCGGTGCAGTATAATGAAGGTCCAGTAAGCTCCCTTTTTAGAGTTATGGTTTGGATACTCTGAAAACTTTTAAGCCCCTGCAAAGATGAAAAGATTATAGAGCAAGTTTCCTTGCTCATTAACAGTGGAGCACACATGCACACTGAAATCTCCACAAGCTACCTTTATTATAGAACTAGTAAAAAAGTACAATATGTATAAAAAATACAAAACTTGCTCCAGAGATCTCTAATATAGTAGTACAAAGTGCATAGCTACATACATGCTTGTAACACTACAGCTAAGAAACTAGTTGCTGCAGATACCATGATGGGAGGTCATCAGACTTTCAGGCAAACATCTCACTGGGATCCTGTTCCTCATAAACTGGATAGCTCCTCAATTAAAGGAGTATCCTCTTAAACGCATTAACAAAATCCAGATTTCTGCTACGTTGTATTTAAAATATTTGAATTACAGATAAAAAACCTTACCCTCATCTGCAGAAATCTGTACAAACAGTGCTAGATAAGATGCATCAGTTGAGTCAGGATAATTCGGGCACTGTGGCTGAATTAAATTGCCCCACCCCACCATTATTTGTATGATGGTCTAATTACATATTTTAAAAGAAGAAAGCACAAAATGAGCTCTACATTGGCACCAGCACAACACTGCTGAATCACACTGTGCGTGCCTGCAAGATGCACACACCTGCTAACGCCACGAGTGGCTTTTAGTGTCCGGATCGGGTACTCCACTCCCACACAGCCCTAAGAATTTCTTGTAAAAGTACAGTCAGGAGGGAGAGAGCAAATACAAATAAATACAAATAAATAACAGTGAGAGAAGTCGTTACAATATTTACCCCGTACATAAAACTGAAAACAAAGTGTACCATTTTAGTGTGCATGCACGGTGCTGTTGTACACACAAATAATACACAAAAACAGCCTGTGGACAAGTCTGTAATCATTTCTGCACAAAAAGAGAAGCCTTACATGGTCAATCTCTGGGCTTAACAAGTCCAATTCTCACAGGCGAACATGCACACAAAACAGCTGCCAGCATGTTCAACCCAACACCAGCTTTCTAAAGAGGTTAATTCCTTTAATTTCTTTAAAAACAAAACATTATTGCAGTAATCTTTGCACTGACACACAGAAGATGATATGGGATTTGGAAGAGATGAGCTTATGTTTGGCTTAACCCACAGCTCGCTCATCCTAGGAGCCAGAATTGGGCCTCAAGAGCTCTGAGCTGATGAGGGTGGAGGGACAGGCCTTCTGTCCCAAGAGCCAGTCCTCACGCGCTCTGGACCACCCTACGCGGAGGCAAGCCCAGACTTCCAAACGAGTGTCCAAAGCCTGATTCTCTTCAGAACCGTGATCATCTCCTACAGAAAAACAAAAACTCAAAGTGGGCACAAGCATCACTGTTCTAGGTTTTGCTAAATGTGTTGGTGCTGTAGCTGAAGTAAAACCAAACAGGAGCAATAAAAAAAAATCACAATTACAATAGAAGTATCCCTCATAATGACAGCAATTGCACACGCAGAATAACTGTTCTGATTTACAAAAGAACCTCTAGTGAGAGATTTGAAAGCTTGAAGCAGCTGGAGCTCATCTCTTAATCAGTTCTGCTTGAGCTCAATTATAGTATCGTGATACATATGTAGCTGATTTGGTTACATTTTTCAAAGTATCGTGCCTAATGCCTTATTTTGATTGAAAAATGAAGACGTTTGCACAACCCAGTGGAGAAAAACTGTAGGGAAGACAGCTCTTTAAAACCCAGGCCTAGCAAGATTCAGGAATAAGTGAAGAGCTGTCAAACGTCTTCCGTGTTATTGGTTCTGAGAAGCAAAGAGCCTCCTGGAAGTACAAGTCCAAGACAGCTCTGTGCCTTTTAGCTCCGTCTGTTCATGCTCTCTCTGAAACTTGAGACGGGTCGCACACCAATGGGACCGTCCTGGAACAGTCAAGCAGGTGAACATTCGGGCAGTTTAACTGGTGTGAAAGCCGACAACCATCCTTCATTCTCCAGCCGTTTTTAAGGAGCTGAAAGTGCCTACAGGAGACCTCGGGGGTGGGGTGGTACCAGGAGGCTTTCAATCACAACAGCCAAACCCTAGAGAACGTGGGGAAAGGTCCCTGTGGAAACTCCAGGGGATTGAAGGGGATGTGGCAGAATCCAGCAGAAACGACCCGGAGCCAGGAAGGGAGAGCTCTGCACTGAAAGACCACTAGCACTCCAGCCAGCTCTCGCGACAAGAAGAGGACAGGAGAGGTGCAGGCCTTCATGCACTGCTCTCCCGTACTCCCCGGAACGCAGCAGCAGATCAGGCAGGGGCCTGACCCGATGGGCGGGCAGATCACTGCCGAGGTGTGGCCAGGTCTGTGGAAAGCCGGAGACCGTCCTGGACACAGAAGGCACAAGGCTGGACGCCATTCTGTCCCTGAGAACACCAGCTGGGAGCAGCCTCCAGTAACCCAGCCTGCCTGTCTCTGGGAGACGGGAGGAAACCACAGCACCAGCTGAAAGTGACGAGAACATGCAGACTCCACACAGAAAGTACCCCAGGCCAGGACTGAACCCAGGATCCAAGAGCTGTGAGCTGTGGGGATGATAACTTTTCATAACAAGGAGAGGGCATACAGGGAAATAACTGATATAGTGTTTTTCAAAAGCTGTATAGCACTTAAATCCCACAGTCCAGAAAACTGTAGGCTGTGCACTGTGTCAATTCATGCAATACTGCAATAATGACTTTCATGTGCCATATTTAGCACTCATGCAGGACAGATACTCATGTTAATGAATCACAGAATAAAAGAACACCATACAACTGTCACAATTGTTTAGTGAGATCACAGGGGTTTCCTGACGGAGGATTCACTGGCCCTTGAATACCAACGTGGCACATTTAAGGCTAAAGGACTCTCATTTCATGTTACCTTTTTTGTAAAAGCTCAAACAGCTGTAAAGTCAGCTCTGGGAGAGTCTAGTGCCAGATACCCCTGAAAGGAGCAGGAGAGCTAAGGCAGGTGTAAACACTACGGGTCCATCCTGGTGGTCACAGCGGTCGTGTGCGCGTTCACACAACGGGGAAGACGGAAAGCCCGGTCCTGGACTGCTCCCGCGTGGAGTCGGCATCTTCCC